AAAGGAGAAAAAAGAGGAGGGGAGAAAGGAGAAAAAAGAAGAGGGGGGGAAGGGGAAGGAAGGGGGGGAAAAAAACGGGGGCTAAGATTTGCATTTCAGAGCGTTCTTGTGCCCTCCTTCGCCACAAAGCTGGCCAGACCTCATCCTGCCCTCACCTCTGCCCGCAAGACCTCAGCTGGGCACAGTGTGCCACAGCTGGAGGTGACACACGCCGCGGTAACCACCACATCAGATAAGCAACAGAGATAAGCAACAGCGCAGAAGGAAGCCCGGAGCTGGGCTCTCCTCCTTTGACGCACAAGGAAGAAAGGGGAAGAGGTAAAGAAATAAAAGAAAATTCAAAATAAATAAGAGGATTGAAAAAAAGAGAATTCGATTAAAATAAAATAATTTTGCCCAAAAGGTACCCGCCTGTGGCTTCTAGGAGCTGGCTGGAGCTACTCCAGTTTCACCAGCTCCTCATCTCCAAAATACATGGTGGATGGGGCAGGAAGGACGGGCTGTTCAACGTAGGGCTCAAGGAGCATCTTGTTCATGGAGCTTGGAGAAGCATCCTAACAGAAACTAAGCAGCAATTCCCACCAAAGAGAACACCTTACGGGGGGAGTTTTCCTTCGGGCAAGCTCCCAAGCCTCTCCAAGCCCACCCAACCCTTGTGTTCCCAAGGGTTGGAAGCCCCCAACCCGCTTCCAAGCCTCATTGCTCACCAGGAACCCTCCAAACAGTGAGGAGGAGAGAGACGCATCCTCCCTCCTCCACGGTTTTCCATGTCCCCTACATCCCCCCTTCTCCACGGCTTTCCGAGTCGCTCATCTTCAAGCGACGCGACACCAGTTGAGATGCACACGTGGTTTTCTTTATTGAGGGCAACACGCTGCCTGGCATCGAAAGCAAGAACCAACACGCTGGCATCGAAAGCAAGAACCAAAACAGAGAGCCCAGCTCACCTGCCAGTCTTGCCTTTGATCACGTTCTTCCAATTCTTCGGCCGAGGCTGCTGCGGCCCGAAGATACCAGACAGAGCAAGCTCTGAATATGGAGGGGGACAACCTTGATCCTCCACAACGACCTTGATGACGGCGTCGCTAGAGGTGGACATGGTGGCCATGACCTGCACGTGGTTGGCAGAAACCGCGAGGGTCTCCTGGCACGCGTGGAGACGGGCTTGCTGGAAGGCGGCGTCGCAAGCGGGCACGCCGTTGTACATCCTCTTATAGACGTCCTGCAAGCTGCCGAGGTGGGCTTTGCTCGCGGAGATCTCCAGGGCGATCTCCAGGGGGAAGATGTTGTAGTCGTAGGGGTTGGAGAAGAGGATGGCCAGCGTGAAGGTGTCCGCCTCGTAGACCAGCACTCCCACACTGCCCCGGAAGCTCAGCGCTCTGTTGGAAAACTGGCAGCTCTCCGTGGCTCCTGGGGGGATTTTGGGCGCGGGTGGGATGTAACTGTAGCCGCTGTAGCAGTAGCTCCTGCAAGGACAGCACAGTTGAGGAGGAAAGTTGAGCTTGAGAAGTTGAGCTCTGGTGAGGCCAAACCTGGAGTATTGGGGGCAGTTCTGGGCTCCCCAGTATAAGAGGGATGTGGAGCTCCTAGCTCCACATCCAGCTTTGTTGGAGCTTCATCATCTCCAACGAAGATGATGAAGGGTCTGGAGCATCTCTCATATGAGGAGACACTGAGTGAGTTGGGCCTTGGAGAAGGTTGAGAGGGGATCTCATCAACATGGGGAAGTTCATGAAGGGGGATGTAGGGAGGAAGGGGCCAAGCTCTTCTCAGTGGTGGCCAGGGACAGGACAAGGGGCAATGGGTGGAAGTTGAAACCCAGGAGGTTCCATCTCCAGGTGAGGAGGAACTTCTGCACTGGGAGGGTGCCCGAGCCCTGGAGCAGGCTGCCCAGGGAGGCTGGGGAGTCTCCTTCTGTGGAGGTCTCCAAACCCACCTGGACGCCGCCCTGTGCCCCGTGCTCTGGGTGTCCCTGCTGGAGCAGGAAGGTTGGACTCGATGATCTCTAGAGGTCCCTTCCAACCTTCAACACCAGGAAGGTTGGACTCAATGATCTCTAGAGGTCCCTTCCAACCTTATTTTCATGCCCCAAGGGAAACACTCGGGCATGGGGGGGCGTAGGAGCCCTCCGGCAACACCTCCACCTCCAACCCTCGCTGCATCCCGGGACCCTCCCCGCTCCTCATCACCGCGTCACCTGGGGGAGTGCAGCGTGACGCTCCGCGTCTTGTTGGCGATCTCCACGGCCACGGTCCGCACAAAAAGGGAGCTCATCCCGGGCGGCTTCCCGAGCTCCTGCTCCTGGCGGCTCCCCGCACGGAGGCAGGTTTGGAGGGTGGAAATGCAGCTTTCTCACCACGCCCGGGCAAAGTCCTCCTCAAAACAGGGTGTGCTTGTGTCAATATTGGAGCAGGACATCACCAAAGCCAAGGGCAAGGCACTTTTGGGGCGGACCTGACCATTTTGGGGATTCCTTTCATAGGAGAGCCACGGATCTGCTGCAATTTGCTGCAGCAATGGCCGGGTTTACATTAATTCCAAGAGCTTTTTCGGGCTACCAGAAGGAACCAAGATGATGCAGGGGATGTAGGTTCGATAAGCGGGCGATAAGCATCCCCAGGTGCCCTGAACTCGGGAGATAGGATTCAATTCTCTGGCTTCTGGAAGGCTGTGAGCAGCAGGAGGAGAGCAGGACTTGCCTGATCACGAGTTTTTCTAGGCCTGGTCTTGGTCTTGACGAGTCTGGTCTCGGAAGGGCCCTTCTCACACCCCAGAGGACACAAAACCAAAGCGGGCAGCCAGGTGAAGTCCTCCCACCCCAGAAGCTTCTCGGAGATCTCCAGGATCCACGGGAGCCTTTTCCCATCGCCCAGACGGAGCTGGGGCAGCGGACAGAGTCCTTGGGCTCTGCTCTTCAGGCCTTGCACCCAACTCAGCACCCTGGGGACGCAAGACGAGAGACTCGTCCTCCATCTCTCCAAGCAAAGGGACACGTCACGGCGTGGGGGCCACTGCTGCAGGAGAACGGGCGGGCTGGGAAGGGACAAGGAGGCCTTCAAGGCCGGGAACGCCTGGAGGAGCCGGGCGAGGGCCGGGAGCAGCGGGAGCCACGGCGCGCGGGCATTCCCGCCTGGAGAACGCCGGGAAGTGGCGGAGCGGCGCAGGCCTTCCGGAGGACGTCCACGGCGAGGCCGTTGAGGGCGACGAAGGCTCCGTCGAGCAGTCCCAAAAACCCTCCAAATCCCATGAAACGAGCCCAAAATGTTCGGGTGCGGCCCCAAGAACTCCCCAAATCCCATGAAATGAGCCCAAAATATTCGAGTGCCTCCCCAAGAACTCCCCAAATCCCATGAAACGAGCCCAAAATGTTCAGGTGCGGCCCCAAGAACCCCTAAATCCCATGAAACGAGCCCAAAATATCTGGACGTAGCCCCAAGAATCCCTCAAATCCCATGAAACGAGCCCAAAATGTTCGGGTGCAGCCCCAAGAACCCCTAAATCCCATGAAACGAGCCCAAAATGTTTGGGTGCAGCCCCAAGAACCCCCAAATCCCATGAAACGAGCCCAAAATGTTCAGGTGCAGCCCCAAGAACCCCCAAATCCCACGAAATGAGCCCAAATATTTCCAGCACCGGGACACGAACCGACCCCAGGCGCCACTGGCACGGGGACCGACCCCGCCCCTCTCCCGTCCCGGCCACACCATTGGTCCATCGCGCTGTCGCTCAGGTCGCAGCTCCGCCCTCATCCGCTCCTCTCGTGGCGATTGGCTGTTCCCGCTGTCACTCCGGCCTGTTGAAGGAGCGGTGGGGGCGCGGCTTCTGCTCGTGGCCCCGCCCCCAAGCGCCTTCCCGCGTTGCCATTGGTCATCTCCGCTGTCACTCCTGCCCGGTTGGGGAGTGCTTTAACGAGGAGAGGGCGGGACCAGCCCTGTTTATCCGTGATTGACAGCAAGAGAGGCCAATGGAAGGGGTTCTCCGCGAGAAGGAACCACCCTGTGCAGAGCGGCCCGCTGCCCATACGGCGGCCGAGAGGGGCCAAACGA